TCTGTCCTGAATGAAGAAGAGAACTTGATGGAGAGATGCAAAGTTGTGGAACAAATAAGGCTTTTGCTGAAAGATGATGAAGAGGCCAGGGTTTTTATGGGGGCTAAGGGTTTTGTTGAAGGATTATTGCGATTTCTAGACTCAGCTGTGCTGGAAGGGAATGCAATAGCTCAAGAAGTTGGGGCAATGGCTCTCTTTAACCTTGCTGTCAACAATAACAGGTGTGTTACTCACGTCTTTTGCCTTTGCTTAGTTAAACCCGGAGATGAATAGTTATGATCGATACGGGTTTTCTATTTCCCTTAGCCCCTGGCAAGCTGCTGCTACTCTGATTCATTAAAGGATACACTAAATGCATCGGTGTCGTAACAATGTCGTGTCTTTTGTTTTAGAACTGTTATTCATATGATTGTTCGGCATTATGTATGCCATTATTAAGATGAATCTTTTTAATGTTCATGTTTTTCTCTAAAATAAATATCAGGAACAAGGAATTGATGTTAGCGGCTGGGGTTATTCTATTGCTGGAGCGTATGATTTCCAACTCCAGTGCCGATGAATCTGCAACTGCTCTGTATCTTAATCTCTCTTGCTTTGAGCAAGCCAAATCGATCATAGGTTCAAGTAAGGCTGTCCCATTTTTAGTCCAGCTACTAGGAGATGAAACTGATGCACAATGCAAGCTTGATGCCCTTCACACGCTTTATAATCTTTCAACCGACCACTCCAATATTCAGAGCCTTCTTTCTGCTGGCATAGTTAATCGCCTCCAGTCTCTTGTGGTCTCGGGTGACCATACCTGGACGGAGAAATCCATCACTGTTTTGCTAAATCTAGCTTCAAGTGAAGCAGCAAAAGAAGAGATGGTATCAGCCTCTGGTCTCATAACTGGCCTTGCATCAGTTCTGGATACCGGTGAACCCGTCGAGCAAGAGCAAGCCGTTTCATGCCTTTTACTCCTTTGTAACGGAAATGACAAGTGTAGTCAGTTGGTTCTCCAAGAAGGTGTGATCCCTGCGTTAGTCTCGATGTCGGTTAATGGAACAACAAGAGGGAGGGAGAAGTCACAAAGACTCCTGGTGCTCTTCAGGGAGCAGCGCCAACGAGATCATCCGCCTGCAAACCAACACCGAGTAGTACTAGAAAGCAGTCGAGACCCCACACGTGCTTCGCCCTCGGCTCCGGAATCGAAGCCACTGTCTAGATCTATGTCAAGAAGAAAAGTGCGGAAAGGCTTGAGCTTGAGCTTCCTATGGAAGAGCAAGAGCTACTCTTCATCTGGTTACTTACTTTGAAAAGCGTCGCAAGGTACTTCAAATTTCCCTTGTATCTTTTTTACATTTCTCACGTTCTGTTCCATTGGACCATCCTTTTTATTTTTCATTTTCTTTTGCTCTTTACAGAGCATCAGAAATGTACAGCCCCTTTGTAATCTATGGATTTTTTAGGTTGTGGATTGTAATACATGTATAATATGTCACAGTTACATAATTTTTGTGTATATATTATTATTTTTTTGGTATCTTTCACATTTATTTTCTAATTTGTATTAAAATATCAGTGACTGTTTTGAAATAGTATTATTTTTAAGATTCAAACTTGAGATTTAAAAAGCTTATACATAATTATTTATGAAAACAATAGAGTGCATTGAGTTCACATCAAAACGAAAATAAATGATAATAAAATATATTAAGCTCATTGTTTTTTTTAAAGGATAGCATTAGACAATTCAATAATATTTTAAAAAGAAAATAACAATTATAAGCTAATAAGAGTAAGTAAATTTCGACTCGAAAAAATCAATTTTATTGATTTAATTTAATTTTACTCAAAAAATTTAAATCATAAAATATAATTCAAATAACTCAATTTTCAAGCTAGAGTTGATTTTTTAACTCTACATAATATATGAATATCGTATATGAAGAAATATATATGTACATCATATATGATTATTATTTATAAAAAATATTTAAATTTAAATCGTTTAATTTTAAAATAAAAACTTAAACAATTCGATTAAAAAATCCAAATAAAATTTAAGTTATAAAATAAGACTCTTTAATTCGATTAACTCAGAAAAATTTAACTCAACTCGAATAAATTTTTAACTCAAATAATTTCATCTATGTTCTTTATTATTTTAATTGACAACAAAAAATTATAAATTTTAACTCAAAAATTAATAATTCAATCTTAATTCTCATTTTAACTTTGGTAAAATAGTACATTGCTTTCCTTGAATACGGTTTCCCTTCGGGTTAAAATATGTCTCTTCCTAAGTTCGATTCCTTTATATAGGTCAAAAATCTTTTCACCTTTTTATATAGTTATCATGAGCAGATGCATTAAACATTAAACCTCTAAGTGTAAAATTTAACTATTATTTTAAAAATTAATAAATGCTGCATCTTTTTTGGGTTATTTTGCTCTCTTCAATTCTGAAATGCAGTGGGAGTGAATTGAGCAGTCTTTCAAGATGTAAGTAAATCTTTTGTTTTTGATTAAAAAAGAACAGTTCAGATATGCTACATGGATTTGCTTTCATGTTTTTTGTTTGATAAAAAAGAACAGTTCTGATATGATGTATGAATTTGCTCTTCAGAACAAATCATTGTTGGCCATCATCATTCTTGTCCCATACTTATTCTTTATGCTTCTTGGCTTCTTTTTATCTTACCGATTTATCAATTTCACCAATTCTTTCTTTGGATTTTCTCTTATTCCCAACTTCATTCTCACATGCATCGATTCCGTGTCCCTCTTCTATATCTGTTTCCTGCGATCGGAGTCACGATCTTCAGATCTCAATTTCTTGTCCTGAAGGGACTTGATGAGTCCTTCGAGGGCAATATCAGTGTCTTCATTCTTCATAAGCTCTTCTGCAACTTCTGCAGGAGTTACGTCCACTTCCACCATCAATTCGTCTATTTCATAGAACAGATTATGATGAGTGATGCGTAGATAATTAGAAGCAAGGACCCTGAATCCACCAGGGGTGCAGTAGGACATGTGGATATGCATGTCCATTCGGCCCGGCCTTAGCAAAGCCGGGTCGAGCCTGTCTTTGTGATTGGTTGTAAACACTATTATTCTCTCGTCTCCGCAGCTTGACCATATCCCGTCGATGAAATTAAGCAACCCTGATAAAGTTAACTGTCATGAAGATATATATTAGCAACAGTTTAGAAATTTATGGAACTTGTATAGCCTTATTATGTGATAAAATAAATCATGATAATTTCCTATGGTTTCACTTACCCTGTTGTTAGTACCCTGCTCGAAACTCTCATCTGTCTATTCTGGAGGTTAATGCCGCAATCGATATCCTCAATCACAATCATTGATCGATTTTTGGTCGAAACCAGCAACCTTCGGAGATCCGAGTTGTGGTAAATGCTCGCGAGTTCAAGGTCGTAGACATCAAATTTTAGGTAGTTGGCCATGGCAGCAATCAAGCTTGACTTGCCTGTCCCGGGTGGACCATACAGTAAGTACCCACGTTTCCATGCTTTTCCTACTCTTTTGTAGTAATCCTTTCTTCGAACAAATCTGTCCAAGTCGTCGATTAACACTTTCTTGATCGCGGGATCCATTGCCAGTTTATCGAAAGTTGCCGGATGGTCGAGATTGGTCGATCCCCATGTTCCATCGCTGTCTCCACCAAAGTTTCCGAGTGAAAGGAGTTTCAAAACCTTCTTTTCTTCTTTGATGGATTTGGACATCTCAATTACATATGGCAAGTAAGAATTTATTACCTTTTCCATGCATTTGTTATGAAAGCGGAGCTCAAGCACTCTATTTTCAAGATTTCCTTGATGATTAATTTCCTTTGTCTCAACACAACACATTTCCCATTTGAGTTGGATTCCTTCATACGTGTCGAGAACCTTTTCGCCTTTGTGGATGGTTACAGTTACCTTATTGTCTCTCGGAGCCTTGGAAACCTTAAGCCTCTCCATCGATGATACGATTTTCGTCTGTAAGTAGGTCATGGAAGCTTCATACAGTTCATTGATGCAGTACCCTTCATATTCATTGATGAGGAGAGTCATCTGGGAAGAAGGGTTTGAGAAAAGGCTTCCGAGTTTTGACAGAACTATGTTTCGGAGTTTTTCTGGGATTAGCTGAGTGGCTATGGCTTGAACCTCGCTAACTACACTTCGGACCAGCATGGCAGATGCGGTGAATGCAGTGTATGTGGAGAGGACTGATGTTGTTGAAGGGATGTTTTTGACAGAGAACATCTTGAGAATTTTGGGGGGTGATTAAATTGATAATTTGATATGCAGAAAAGGTTATGATTTTCAACCGTAATTGCTAGGCATCATCAAATATCATTGGCTTTTTATACATGGGAGATTCCTTGTGTTGCAAGCTTCTCAAGCACATTGGTTAAGCAATCTTCTGTGGCAAGTTCTGTAAGACTTGAGCTGGCTTTGTTTTTTTTGCCTTTTAGGAAAAATATGGCCAAATAAGTAATAAATCTGCCCAACAACTCTAAATTAATTGGTTTGATCTGTTCACACAATTAAGTGTATTGTTTTTATTTGGTAAGTCAATGACAAATATATCTGCCTATAGCCTTCCTTTCCTGCAAGTATTTTATATATATATATATATATATATATATATATATATATATATATATATATATATAAACATATTCGTTTATATCATGTATTTTTTATAAAATTAATTAGATTCTCAAATTTCATAAAAACATGTAAAATATATTTTTTAAATAAATTTTTAAGTTTTTTTCCTTCTTTGGTTGAAGGGTCATATTAAGTGTAAAAGAAATTTACACATTATATTATTTTTTTAAGAAAACTCTGAACACTTTAAATATCATTATGTTAAATAGTTAAATTAATCATTTTCCATTTTATAAAGAAAATAAAGATTGAAGATAATTATTGCTCTGCTGAAACCAAATAGAAGTTCTTATGTTTAATACTTCCCATGAGCAGGGTCAAGTGAATATGCATGTCCATTCGACCCGGCCCTAGCAAAGCAGGGTCGAGCTTGTCTTTATGACTGGTTGTGAACACTATTATCCTCTCATCTCCGCAGCTCGACCATAGCCCGTCGATGAAATTAAGCAACCCCTGTCATGAAGATAATTTGTAGTAGTTGTTGTACAGTAATGTAAGATTACAATGTACTTAACATATTAATAAGAATGTTGTACTTTTCGTTAGTATCCTGCTCAAATGCATCACATTCCCCAAGCTCAAATCTCTTGACTTGTCGATTCTGAAGCTCAATGCTGCAATCAATATCCTCAATCACAACCATTGATCAATTTCGAGTCGAAACCAGCAACCCTCGAAGCTGCGATTTGCTCCGAATGCCTGTAAGTTCGGGGTCTTAAACGTCGAATTTTAGGTAGTTAGCCATGGCAGCAATCAAACTAGACTTGCCTGTTCCAGGAGGACCAAAGAGCAAGTACCCACGTTTCCATGCTTTCCCCACTCTTCTGTAGAAATCCCTTCGTCGAACAAATCGGTCCAAGTCGTTGATCAACTCTTTCTTCACCGCCAGATCCATAGCCAGTTTATCGAAAGTCGCGGGATGGTCAATATTGGTCGATCCCCACACTCCCTGTCCGTCACAAATGAAGTTCTTAAGTGAAAAGAGTTTCACCACTTTGTTTTCTTCTTTAATAGCTCTGGATCTCACCATTACATAAGGCAAGTAAGACCTTGTCACCATTTCCATGCATTTATTATTGAAACGAAGCTCAAGTACTCTATTTCATTTCCTCTATTCCTTCCGGGCTTCCCTTGATGATCATTTTCCTTCGTCTCACACATATCATCTCCCATTAAGTTCGATTCCTTCATATACGTCAAGAACCTTCCGACCTTTGTGTATGGTCATATTACCTTTGTACGCAGGAAATTTATAAAATTTTAAGAGGTGAAAATAATTTTTCAACAGAAAACATAAAAAATATATCTAAAGTATATGAAAATTTGAACTTTTAAGACGATATGCTAGCCTCCGTTCATCTCTGGTTACCTTATCGTCTCTCGAAACCTTGAAAGCCTTACCCTCTCCATCGAGGCCGAGATTTTCGTCTGTAAGTAGGTATCGGAAGCTTCATACAGTTCATTGATGCTGAACCCTTCGTACTCGTTGATGAGTAAAGTCACTTGGGAATACGGATTCGAGAAAAGGTTTCCGAGTTTCAACAGAAACAAATTTCGGCAATGTTCAGGGATAAGCTAACCGACTATGAATTGAACCTCGCTAACCCGCTCCGAACCAACATGGCTGATGCCGTGAATGCAGTGTATGTCGAGAGGACCGATGATGTTGAAGGGATGTTCTTGACGGAAAATGTAACATCCTCCATGTCGGGTGAGTGATTAATTTGCAAAGTTTCAACATTTGATGATTAAAGTAGAATAATTATATAGTTTAAAAAGTATGGTTAGTAAATATGAGATGGAGGTAGGGACCAAATGGTCATTTGTAAGGAAAATTTTAATAAAAAAAAATATGTTATGGGGATATATGAGAACCCACGTGGAGTATTAGGTTCCAGAATACTCTCATTCCTTCTTTCTTATTTCTTCTCTTCCTTCTCCAAACGTGGGCTTGCAATTAAAGGTAAGAATCTGAACCTTGGTAGTTTCTTTGATTTTTAAGATTGGAAATGAAAGCTTGGATGTTATAAGCTAAAGGAAAGCTTATATGACATTAAAACAACAAGATAAGTGATTTAGAGAATGATTTGGAAAATGAGTTTTTAGATGAAATTTTGATAGGAATGAGTTTTTGAAGTTTGAATAAGATTTTTGACTTGTCAAGAAGCTAACTAAGAAGTATGAGGTGTTAGAATTCAAATTAGAACATATTGGAATTTGGGTTGGATTCTTAAATTCTACATGGAGAATTAGATTTCTAGGTTTTAGAGGTATTTAATGGATAATAATCAGTTTAAGTAAGTGTATGAGAGCTAAGAGTAGTAAAGGGATTGAAATATGTATGTTTGAGCTGAAATGGGATGATTTCCGAGCTCAAATTAGGATTTCTGGGTTAGGGGAATCGGTACCCATTCAAGGGGAACCGATACCCCCTCAACGAAATGAATTTCCAGAATGCTAGAGGGGAATCGGTACCCCCAGGGGGGAACCGATACCCCCTCATCGTATATGAAATTCCAGATTGCTTGAGGGGAATCGATACCCCCAGGGGGGAACCGATTCCCCCATGAGAAAAAAAGAAGAAAGAAAAGAAAGCAAGACTAAGCTATAAATTCTTTAAATTAGTAAGCTATTAAAGCTTAATTTCAAGACATAGACGTCTGATGATCATCTTAAAAATTATGTTTATGTAGATACCGAGCCTACTCGAGTTTGGGAACAATCTACAAGTAGGATCGATCGAGGAAAAGGCAAGAAGTATAGGTGAGTGCATATGCATAGCATGAATATAGTATTATATTCAGTTCTAGACTTGTGATAAGTCTAGATTCCATATTTGACATATGATCACATTCCATATTATGATACATGACATGAATTTATATTAGTGTATTGCATGACATGAATATGCAGAAAAAGTTATATGAGCTATGTGATAAAGGTATGTAAATGATATGTCTATGTGATAAAGGTATGGAAATAATATGACTACGCGATATGAACTACGGGAAATGTATAAGCCCATGTTATGTAGATGAGAACTATAGGTATAGTTGGCATGCCAAGGGTAGAGGGTATACTCGGTTCTTTAGGACATATGTATATCCTTTGGAACCTGTGTGAAGTCTTGAAAGACACATACTTGATCCATAGTATATGTATATGATTCTTAAGGAATTCTACGTGGTCCTTATGGACATAATTCTACGGGCACTTCGGTGCAATTCTACGGGGCACTTCGGTGCATTTATACGAGCTGTGGTGACAGCATAGTGCACAACCTCACATTACTCAAATACCTTAGGTTCTCAATATGCTATCATGGGCCAATAAACTTATTAATACAGAATAATGAATGTTACAGTACTACGCTTACAGGTATGGATATTGATGAAGTATACTACATTGATTAAGTACATGTTTGCATCTCATCTCATATGATCCTGACATTTTCATTACATTACATTGCCTTGTTATTATTAATGCCTCACTAAGTCGATGACTTAGCGTGTGAGTGTTTCACACGTAGGATCCGAGGAATTTAGACGAGACAGGTGAAGCAGCTTGACAGTATTACTCCTGCAACCATCAGATCAGAAGCAACTTAATCAGTAGGTCATTTTGTGATGTAAATAGCAGTTGGCATGTAATTAAAGGGTTAAGTTGTGTATGCTCTGAATATTTTGGTAAACTTATATTACAGTATGTATATTATTGTATTTTCTTAATACAAGTACAAATATTTTACTATTATTTATTAAGAGTTGTGTTTTAAAGTCAATGTAGTATCTCTGACTCATATCCGGGTCGGGTATGGGTTGGGAGTGTTACATTTAATGGTATCAGAGCTATGGTTTAGCCGATTCTAGGCATAAACCAGAGTCTATGGAGTCTTTAAATGGAATATATGCCAACTAATAGCGAGAACTTCTGATCTGGTATAGTATGAGTATGTTGTTTTGCTAATAGAATAATGTGGTTATTCTTATTAGATGTCCGGACATAATAGCTCCCGAAGTGAAGCGGGAGAAGATAGGCATGCTGAAAGCAGTAATTCACCTGCCCTGGCCAGGCAAGGTGAAGAACAGGCATCTCAAGGAGTGCCTATGCAAGATCAAGATACGTTCTTCAGAACGTTAGACGCTATTCTGACGCGTCTTCAACCTCCTGTTCCACTAACTCCACGAATTAATGTAGCAAAAGAGTTGAGAAGTTTAGGAGCTCCCGAATTTAAGGGAGAAGCTGAGGAAGGTCCGGTGTCAGCGGATCTTTGGTTGAATGATTTGAAAATCATGCTAGATGGTCTCCACTGTTCCGAAGTGGAGAAATTAGATGGAGTTGTATCTTTATTGAGGGGTCAGGCGAGGATATGGTGGACGAATGTCGCCATGAGAATGTCAACCGACCATTTGACTTGGTCTTTGTTTTTAAAAGAATTTAAAAACAAGTATATTGGAGATCAGTTTATCCGCCAAATGAAGCAGGAATTTATGAGTTTGAAGCAGATGAGCCGCTCTGTATATGAGTACGAATGTGAATTTAATAAGCTGAGCAGGTTTGCAGCTGAGCTTGTGCCTACTGAGAAAGATGCTTGTGAATGGTTCGTGGAGGGCTTGCGCCCTAGACTTAAAGAAATGTTGATAGTATTAAACTTGTCCTCGTTCCAGGAGGTGATCAATCGTGCAAAAGCTCTTGAAAGGGCTCAGAATGAAAGATTTGGGGACTCAAGGGTTCAGACATCAAAGAGGACGACTACTTATTCTGGTTCAACACCAACAAAAAGGGGAAGAGACTCGGGATTTCGATCACAAACTAGATCAGAATCAGTTGTATCGTCTGCTAGGGGAGCAAGTCAGGCAAGAACTAGACAGACGCAGTCAGTGGAATCCGGTGCTGGGAGATCTACTCCGGGTCAAAGGAAACAGTGTGAGCACTGCGGGAAAAACCATTATGGGGATTGTCTTATGGCAGCTGGGACTTGTTTTCGATGCGGAGATGCCGGACATTTTGTCCGGGATTGTCCCTTGATTGTTGGTGAGCCGGCACCATCTGGAAGAGCTGGTTCTTTCTCACAAAGAGGACGAGGAAGAGGCAGAGGAAGGAACCCGTCTGAATTCTCTGCTCAACCTGAAGTTCGATCCACTGCTCGAGTGTACAACCTAAAGACAAGTGAAGACCGTGATGACCCTGATATTATAGCAGGTACTTTTCAGTTGTATGATAAATTAGTATTGGTACTGATTGATCCGGGGTTCTAATTATTCTTATATTACAAGTGAGTTAGTAAAGGAGTTGGGGATTCCCTTAGAAGCTACGAGTAATGAGATTATAGTAACAACTCCGTTAGGCAATAGTGCCCGGGTGAATAAAGTTTGTAAGGGGTATCCCATAAAGATTCAGGGAATTGAATTCCCTGCTAATCTGATGGAATTACCCTTTGACGAGTTTGAAGTGATTCTGGGAATGGATTGGTTGTTCCGGTATTATGGAGATGTTAGTTGCAGATTGAAAAAAGGTAACTCTGAAAAGTCCAGACGGAATAGAGATAAGTGTGAGCAGTGAAAAGTTTAATCCTTTAGCAAATGTAATATCAGTGATGTCTGCCAAGAAATTATTGCTACAAGGATGTCAGGGTTTTCTTGCAAATGTGATTGATTCAAGAGCTCAAGAGAAAAGGTTAGAGGAAATTCCAATAGTTCGAGAGTTCCCTGATGTTTTTCCTGCTGAATTGCCAGGATTACCTCCGGATAGAGAGGTAGAATTCCAAATTGAAATAATGCCGGGAACAGCTCCGATTGCAATGGCACCTTATCGAATGGCTCCGAAAGAACTGCAAGAGTTAAAGAATCAATTACAAGAATTGCTAGAGAAGGGATTTATCCAACCAAGTGTATCGCCTTGGGGAGCTCCGGTGTTATTTGTTAAAAAGAAGGATGGATCAATGCGTCTTTGCATTGACTATCGACAGCTCAATAAGGTGACCATCAAGAACAAGTATCCCCTTCCGCGCATTGATGACTTGTTTGATCAACTAAAAGGAGCTTCGGTATTTTCGAAGATCGATCTACGTTCGGGTTATCATCAATTGAAGATCCAGGAGAAAGATATTCCGAAGACAGCTTTCAGAACGAGATATGGTCATTATGAATTCATCGTAATGCCATTCGGAGTAACGAATGCACCTGCTGCTTTCATGGATCTTATGAACAGGATTTTTCAGCCCTAC